CTGCAGGGCGGGGGGGGGGGGGGGGGGGCAGATCTGGCCTGCCAAGCATTTCTCTTTGGCCCACCCAGCTGCTTAGCAGAGAGTGCATACTTACAGCTGGCAACATATGTTCAGATGTCCCTCCCCCACCTTGCACTGACCTGCAGCAGAGCTGCTCCCATGAGTGTCCTGCTAGCTGTGCAGAGTTGAGGAGGAGGTAAGGAGACAGGGGAGTGCTAATGTGAGGGAGCTCCTCTCCCCCCTATACCTCATCTCTGAAGAGAAGGAGTGACATAGTCATCAGAGCTGCTCCAATCTGAAATGTAGATGGTAAGTGACAGAGGAGTGCAGAGCAGGGGATAGGGAGGGGGAGACAACAGAGCAGGACTGATTTCCCTTAAAGAGACAAAGTGTGGCTTCTCTCCGAAACTTAGCCAACACACACATGCTCTGTGCCACACGCACACCGTCACTGTCACGTACACACTGCCACACACACTCAGTCTGTGTCACAAAGTCTGTGTCTCACACACACAGTGTCTCTGTCACACACTCTTTATGTCTCTTTCTGTAGCCCTCAACCTCACCCCTTCTGCCTGAAGGCCCGAACTGTCCAGGCAGCCCAGAGCCAGCCCACTACCACATATCAAAGTTTATGAAGTGGCTCCCCTGCAAAATTATTGTCTGCCCTTAGATTAGATGATCGAACGGTCTCTTCTGGCCTTACAGTCTGCAGATCTCAGAAACTGCATATGGCACTGAGAAACCTCTGATGTTTGCATGTACATCCTGCTTGATCCCAGAACACTTTGAGTGAGTAGGGATGACACAGGGGAAGCAGCTCAAACATGCAAAGGGACTGGCCGGGGTAGGACATTAGCCCTGTAGGGCAGGGATGAGTGTGGCAGTGACATCACAAGGCCTTTTGCAGCACCTCAGCTTATTGGTTAAAGGACGTTGGGAGGCGATGACCTCACAGAGAGGCCATTAGGCCAGTAGGACAGGATGGGGGGCTGGGGCAATCTCAAGAGCTCCCATGACTGCTGCAGGGACTCTGCTTCTTGAGGCTGGCCCTTGAGGCCTGAGAGAGAATTCAGGGTAACATGAAGAGGAGCCTTTTTGGAGTGTTCTCCTTTCCCAGAACTAGACCTGTAGAGAAGGTAAGAGCCTGTGCGAGGTTTGGTGCCGATGCAGCCTGACCCACCTGGTGCTGGCCAAATGCAAGGCATGGGAAACAGTAACATTGGGAGAATTATTTTCCCACCTAGGCCTTTGTCCCTTATTATTACTGGGGACATTGGAATTTGTCATTTTTCGTATCCCTTTTCCCATAGCTTCCTGCCCCTCAGTCTCACTGCTGATTGGATGAGCTGCCGGGCCCAGTGACAGGGAGGAGTCTCGGGACTGTTGTTCTCTATAAGACCCAGCAAATGAGCCAGAACTAATCATCTGCTTGGGAAATTCTTCTTTTCTACATTGGTTGGCTCTGAGCAGTTCCTTAATTCTATCAGTTGGGTGTAACAATCCTCTTCTGCTTGCCTCCATGTCAAGGGAGGTTGGGGAGCTGTGAGGATCTGTGGTGAGAGTGTCACTAGCAGCAGTATATAATATGAGGTGTCCTATTATGTGGAGTCATTACAGATGATGTGGGGGTGCAGTAGAGTCCTGTTCTTCTAACCTTCCATTTGTGCAGTTTTCTATGTTAACCCAACAACCAACACACACAGGGCCAAAAGTAGGCAATTCCTCATGTGTCCACTGGATGGCACTACATCGTCACACTTTCCCATTCTTCTAATTATCTCAGTTTTGAGGATCTGATCTGACCCAGGTCCCAATTCGATGTGACAAATGGGGCTCTGCTGTGTATTAGCTGGAACAGTCAATTTTATTGGTATTTTATTATGTTTAAATAAGAGAAGCAACTCATCAGCCATGGGGCAGGCAACACAGGGGCAGGCAACACATGGCCTGGCAAGCTTTTCAATCCGGCTCACAGCCACCCTGCTCAGACCCTCAGGCAAAGGAGCAGCCCAGGGGCTCACAGTATCTGCCTCATCTGCCTCTCTGTGCAGGAGGAATCTTTGCATGCTACCCTGCCCCCAGCATGATCATTCAGATCCTGTTGGGCTGGTTACCATTGGCTACTCCTCCTCATCACAAACTCTCAGTTCCCTTTTGCTGGAACTAGCCAATGGGAGTTGAGAGATTATGCTGGGTGCATGTGTAGCTGCTACCGGACAGTTTTGAACTAGGACATCTGGCGATTAGTGTAGGAGTCTCTACAGCTTGAGCTATAAAACCAGCTGGCTCTCTTCTTAGGCTGTAGAGCTCTTTTGTTCTTATCTCTTGTTGTGAGTGATCTAAGTGCCACTACGTGAGACAGTGAACCACACTAGATGTGTGGGTTACACATGGGGAGTGCATGTTGATCTCCCCCCCCACCCCCTCCCTACTGTGTGGCGCAGAGAGGCACATGGAGCAGCTGCTCTGAGCTCTGGGGCTGCAGCAGGCAGGGTAAGCACCTCCCGGTCAGAACCTGCCTCTGGAACCCCACTTCCTCCTACACCCCAACTCCCTGCCTCAGGTCACCATACTCTCCTGTTCCAGGTCACCATCCAGTACCTCTCTACTCCCCTGTTCCTAGATCACAGACACTGCACCCCCTCTTACAGGCAGTCCCCAAATTACGCGGCTCCGACTTATGTCGGATCCGCACTTACGAACGGGGCTTTCTCGCCCCGGAGCTCGCAGGCAGCGGGACCTCCCAGAGTGCAGCGGTCCCGCCACCTTGACCTCCGGGGCGAGAAAAGCTGCTCTGGGTGCCCCTGGTCTGCTGGGGACCGTCTCCAGCAGACCAGGGACACCTGGAGCAAAGCCGGGGAGGCGGAGGGGTCCCACGCCTCTGAGGCTTTGCCACAGCAAAGCCTCAGAGGCGCGGGACCCCTCCGCCTCCCCGGCTTTTGCTCCGGGTGTCCCTGGTCTACTGGGGACCGTCTCCAGCAGCCCAGAGGCACTGGGAGCAAAGCGGAAGCGGCA